TCTGGCGAACCAGAGCAGTGCACGGAAACCCCGTTTACCTTCCCGCTGGAGTGGTACCTATTTATCTACTTGCACTTTGACATGCTTTCAAACTGCTAGATTGGCAAGAGCAGGGATCGAGCAACGGGAGCTCACCCTGTCGCGGGGATTCGAACTGCCGACCTTCTGATCGGCAAGTCCTAGGCTCTGTGGTTCAATCCACAGCGCCACCCATGTCCCACGGTTGTGCTAGGAGGAGATAGCAATTAACCAGGTAAAACTAAAATCCCCATTTGTGCTTGGATCCATCCTGAAAAACAAGCACAGTATTGCAGGCACTCTGTTTACTCAGCAAACCCATCTCTGGATCTGACAAGGCCACCAATCAGCTTCCAGATCGAGATCCCATCTACTAGACATCTACAAATTATACTTCAGCCCTTTAACACATCTCAAGATTATTAATTAGCTGTCAGTTTCCTAACCGCCCTGCACTGATGGAGCATCAGTCGGCTACTCCTATTCTTATGCATGGTTTAACCATTACAAAGCCTCCAAGGACCCTCTGCTGGCTTCTAGCATTCCTTTGAAATCACATATTTTATATTAATTACAGTCTTGCGCTTGCCACACTTGCAAAATGATCCCAGACCTAATTAGAAACACCAAAAGAAAGACTACCATAAGCCCTTCCAACATTCACCTCTAATTGCATCTTAAGTGCTACAGTAGTGTATTGTTGCAAATCCATATGATGTGGAGATATTATTTGCAAGCAAGGGAGAGGGAGTCTGTATGAAGTGAGTTTCTAGTGAACACTAATCTATTTTTTTATTAGGGTGACTTATAATGCTAAGAACACTGGGAAAAACTATGCAAATAAGCAATATAAAGTGCCATTTAGGAGCCCACAAGAATGAACTAATGAGGGTGATATAAGTACTCCTTTGAAATGTTTTTCCTTTTTTATTGGCTAATTAGAACAAAACATCATTATTCCAGCTAGAGGGAGCCTTGCCCTTTTGGATAACTGTGCATAACTTAAGTCAAGAAATTTCCAGATCAGAAGGGTCTAAATCGATGGGAAAAACCAGAACCCCTTAGCTCATGTAGACAGCACTGCCGCCACCCATTTCACCACATCTCTGCAGCTGTACACAGGAAGCTGCCTTGAACCATAACAGCCCATAGGTCCATCTCGCTTGATACTGTCTACACTGACTGGTAGTGGCCAGTGGCGGAGCTTCATGCTCCGGCACTGGGGGGCAGAGAGCAGGCAGGGGCATGACTGGTGCGCACCTGGGGGCGTGGCACAACCCCCATAGGGGTGTGGTGCACGTCCTGGGGCCGTGGTGTGCTGCCCGTAGGGGCGTGGTGCCCAGCGTGGGGGGGGGCAGCCACGATGGCACCCCACCGGGATTGTGCTGCCAGGGGCGGTGCGCTCCCTCTGCATGCCTCTTCCTCCGCCAGTGGTAGTGGCTCTCTAGGGCAGGGGTAGGCAACCTAAGGCCCGTGGGCAAAATGCGGCCCAATCACCTTCTCAATCCAGCCCACGGTCTGGGAATCAGCGTGTTTTTACATGAGCAGAATATGTGCTTTTACAGTATTTAAAATGCATCTCTGGGTTATCTGTGGGGCATAGGAATTCGTTCATTTTTTTTTTTTCAAAATATAGTCCGGCCCACCACATAGTCTGAGGGACAGTGGACCAGCCCATGGCTGAAAAAGGTTGCTGACCCCTGCTCTAGGGTTTCAGGTGGGGTCTCTTCCAGCCCTACCAAGAGATGCCAGGGGTTTAGCTTGAGACCTTTCGCATGCAGTGCAGGTCCTCTACCTGACGCTGGTGGCGCTGTGGTCTAAAGCACTGAGCCTCTTGGGCTTGCCGATCAGAATATTGGTGGTTCGAATCCCTGAGACAGGGTGAGCTCCCATTGCTCTGTCCCAGCTCCTGCCAACCTAGCAGTGCGAAAGCAAACTAGTGCAAGTAGATAAATAGGTACCGCTGCAGCAGGAAGGTAAACAGCATTTCCATGCGCTCTGGTTTCCGTTGCACCAGAAGCGGTTTAGCCATGCTGGCCACATGACCTGGAAAGCTGTCTGCAGACAAATGCCAGCTCCCTCGGCCTGAAAGCGAGATGAGCACCACAACCCAAATAGTCGCTTTTGACTGAACTTAACCATCCAAGATAAGAGATGTTATCCTGGGGCAGCTTGTTAGCATGGGTCCTCTGTCCTGGAGTGTTGGCCGCAGAAAAACCATCAAGAGTGAAAAGAGATGCCCCCATTTATGAAGACAAAGCAACTTATGTTCTGAGGCTTCTTAAGAAATGATGGATTGATTCAGGTATGCATTTTCAGAGACCAGAGACCATCAGATGCCTCTTTTTCCTCTGCTGTAAAAGAGAGAAATAAAGCGAATCCACATTTATAGAACATGACCCCCCTCCCCCTGCACACACTGGGAACTAAGGTTACCCCCTCACAGAACTTCCCAGTACCCAGTACCCTTAGACTAGTTTCACCTTTTCTCTAAACTAAGAATTCTCCAACACTTCAGTCTTTCCTCATAGGGCAATCATTCCACCCCCATGATCATTCTGGTTTGGCCTTTTCTGAGCATTTCCTAACTGAGGCCTTTTGCACAGGAACAGCTCTGGGCTTTAAAGCTCCATGTCTGAGTGGGGATTTTTGCTGTTGTGTTGTTGCTCCGGCACTTCCCCTGTGAAAACCTGTGTTTTACCGCTGAATCAGATTAAACATCAATGTGTGGAAGACCCCATCGCCCTTTGCTCTGTGTTAGCGGTAACATGCAGGTTTTCACAGAAAAAGCGCCAGGACAAAAATAAACCCTTCCAGACACAGAGTTTTAAAGTCCGAACCTGAGCTTAGAAATGTGGCACAAACTGAAGTCTGGATGAGTCCTCAGTGCTGTGATCCTGATGAAAATCTCTCTGTGCCAACTATTCACTTCTATTAAAAAGCTATGCTGCGCTTCCAAGTGATGTGCTTAGTGTGATGTGTTTTTTGGCCCTCAGTGCCAGAGATTACGAGCTTTTAACAGCTTCACTTTTCCTCCTTCATTGAACAGTTTCCCCTGTTTTAACAGCAAACATTTTAGAACAGACACCTAAGCAATATATATATCTATCTTTCATTGCCTTCCATTTCCTCCCTCTCTTCTTGTCTGGTGGAGGGAGCATAAAATAGTGCGGCGTTAAATCATTGCCTTGGTCGTGGAGCGGTGGCTTCCATGTTAATTAATCTTTAATGCCATTAATTGGTTGTCTGCCTCAGGACAAGAAAAACGGTAAACACTCTTCACAAATCAATTTAATTCTCTTTGCAGCCAGCTTGTTATTTTTAGGAGGACAGAAACACTTCGGATACTTCAATTGAGCAGGGCGCTCGGTGCCAGGCTGATAAAGATGGTGGACGAGTGGGGAATTTTTCATGTGCAAATATGGCTGAGTTTACTTCTTTTGAACTTGACTAATTATATCTTTTCATAGTTGGGAAAGATTTAGTGCCCAACAGTTGTTGCTGTTTTTGTTGTTGTTGTTGTTGTTTTTCCAACTTCAACGGCCAGCATCACCAGCCAACATGGCCTTGTAGTCCAAAGCATCTGGAAGGCAGTGGCATAGAGTGGAGAGTTCACAGAAGTGGCTGCCCCAGCTGCAAAATTATTAGGAGATGCAAAATTTCAACACCTGGTGCTGCCTCAATAAGCTGCGCACTTCCGTTGCTGGGCTCCATTGAAACCAGCTTCTCTGTGTGAGCCAGGAAGTGACAAAACAATTCTTTTCTTTTCTCTGCGGCTGCGATCTCCTGCATGATGCGGGCGCCATTAGGCAGTTGAATGCGCATGCGTACTCCATCCATTTCCCTCCTTCCCACCCACCCCCTCCGCGCAGCCCCGGGTGAGAGACAAACCCCACAATCTTTGGTGGGCTGGATAAATTCTTTTAAAATGTTAGGAGTTCGACAATGCACCACATGTAAATCATGCACCCTTGCAATATAGCACACCATGTAAATAATGCAATTACCCCCTTGCAACTGTGCATCTCAGACAAATAATGCCCTCCATGCAAATATGAAATCTTTGCTCTTTCCTCCTGAAAGCTTTCAGTACCTCTAATGTATAATGACATCAAGTGCACCCAAGTTAGACAGCAAGCTGATGGCCATAATTAAATCGAATAGGCTAAAAATAAACCTATCAAATCCTCTATTTGCATTCTATTATTCGTCATCTTTGAGGTTTTGGCAGAACAATAGAAGGAACTTGGGGATTATAGCTAGGTTTACATTTTGCTGGGATGATATGATATTCTATCTGGGCTGCGAGCAAAGTCTTGTTGCATCAGATCAAACTCTTTGCTTTTATTCCATAGCTGAGAAGCTCCCATTGTTCTCTCCATATGGGGATTTAATCTAGCAAACAGCCCTGAGATGGCTGCATGGAAGGGAGGCTGCTTTATACATTTTTAAAATTGAGCCTTTGTTATCCTGCTCTGGCACTTATTAGGGAGATAATGAAAAATGTGGAAATTAAATCAGCACCATGCAGAAGTTGAAAGAATAGTCTTTTTCGAATTGCTAAAGAGCAGGAATACAAAAAAAAAATAAAAATTTGGGAATTAATTTTGTAGAATACTGGGAGGATGAAGTTGTCCTTGAAGCCAGAGCTCACCATGGCAGGGTTCAGCCCTAGAGCTTGTTATTAATACCTGTCCTGTGACCTTTGGTTTTGTGGGACCACAGAGTGGTTTTTTTGGGCAGTGAATGAACCACATGTGGCTCCTGAATTTCTGGGATTCAAGGGCCTGGTCAAAGAGGCAGGTTTAAGCCTCAACTGCAGTCTTGAGGGCAACTTATTTTCTTCCACTGCAGTCCAAACAAGACATGTCCATTTTATTGGGTAGATTAACCAATTAAAGCAGTGGCCAAGCATGGTTGATTCACCTCAGGCAGTGCGATACCAGGACCTGCCAGCAGGTCAGAAGTTTAATTGTTTGGGGGGAAGCTTAGTAGTAGAGCATCTGCTTTCCATTCAGAAGGTTCTCTAGGTTCAATCCCTGACATCTCCAGGTTGGGAGGAAAGACTCCTGTCTGAAACCCTAGGAGAACTGCTTCCAGTCAGTGCAGACAATACTGAACTAAATGGACCAGTGGACTGATATGGTTTCTCAACCTGTGGGTCCCCAGATGTTATTGGACTACAACGCACATCATTCCTGAGCTCTGGCCTTGCTAGCTAGGGGTGATGGGAGTTGTAGTTCAACAACATCTGGGGACCCACAGGTTGACAAAGGCTGGTTTAGAGCAACATTGTATGTCCTTAAGGCTATGGAGCCATCAACCTGCCCCTGGCACATCCCAAATCCACCCCACCAACATGCCCCCCGCTGCTGGGCTGCTTCTGATGTCTTCTGGTTCTGAAAACCAAACAATAAGTAAGTATGAATCCACCAAAAATGAGAAACACTCCCACCCAATGAAAATTAACAAAACAAAACCCAGCAGAATATACTATTAAAGGAAAAGGAATAAAAAACTATTGAGTGGTTAAACAGCCCACTGCATTGCTATCAAATGTCTGAGACCAGGGGAATGTTTTACTAACACCAAGGCCTTGCTTTGAATACCATTCCATAAATGGGGAGCCACCACCGAAAAGACCCTCTTCCCCAGTGCCTTATTTAAGAGGTGTCACAAGGAGGAGGGCCTCTGATGTAAATCTAAATATGCAGGCTGGTTCATATTGGCAGAGATGTTCCTCCAATTATTGTGTTCTCAAGCTGTATATGGATTTATATGGGGTCGCACCCACAAGCACCAATTTGCCTGTCATTACCTCTTATGGTACCCATGAAATGTCTCAGTATCGCCTAAAAATGTGTGTGAGAGAGAGGAGGCCAGGTCCACACCATTTTGTGTTCCTGTCCTCTTTTCTCCTCTTTAGATGTGTGACAGCCATTTCATACTATGCCACGTCCCACATGGCAGCCATTTTGTGCTAAGCACACACTCAAAAGCAGCCATTGTGTGGCAGGCTACCATGGTACTTTTTCAAAATTCCAAGTGTGCCTGCTGGTCCAAAAGAATTTATAGGTTAAAGCAGGTTGAATTGGCCCAGAAGCATAAACTCCTTTGGCTGACATCTTCCATCTACCACAATCCTTCTCAACACTTTGTGGGCCAGAAAAACGCTTTTCTGTCTATTGCAGTATGCTTGTCTATGATGTGGTAATCACAAATCTATCTGTGCTCCAGAGATGATGTTTTTCAATAAGATGTCAGGTCAACTTGGAGGGGGATTTTTGATGTGAGAAAGGCATGGTTTTGGTTGGTTTTTTTTTAACTGCATCCAAGTATTGCCACTGTCTGTATTTCAAAGGGGATTTTAAAATTATTATTCAAGCCAGAGTGTATGTGTGTGTGGCTTTGCCTATCTCTCCCCTCTCCCCTCCACCCTGGCATAAATAGATAACCTCACAAATGAAGGCATAATAAAACAGAGATAAACACAGACGGCATACCTCATTAAAAAAAATTAGCATGTCATATTTAAATCCACGCCTTTGATTTACAGGTTAATAAAATCTCCTCCAGTAGCCACAGAGAAGGTAATTAATTGTCAGTCTATAAAATTAACATTGTGTGTGCAGCTGAAGATAAGGTATCCCTTCCTTGTAGATTCTCAAGGCTACTCAGCTCAATGCAAAGGGAGCGTGTTCTTGCAAAAGAAAACCATGTTAGGAGCCTGCTCTAAGATGCTATCTTCTTAAATAATTGCCTTCCCCACCTTCCTGGGTACATGAAAAGACACCATAAGAGTAATTCAGCTGAGCCATTCTACATTACTAAGAAACAACTTGCGTTGTCAAACCTGACAGAGCTCATTTCCCTCCTGCCCCACAATCTGGGCAGTTGTCAGAGGTTCATCACCCCGACACTTGTTTCCATATTCTTTTATTTATGAGTTTATTTTATTGCATTTATATCCCACCTTTTCCTCCAACAAGCTCAAGGCATACCCTCCAGCAATTCTTTGATGAAAATAAGGATGTCCTATTGAATTAGTAGTAGTAGTAGTAACCTGCTCATCTGACTGGGCTGCCCCAGCCTCTTTGGGTGGCTTCCAACATATATAAAAACATAATAAAACTGCCTTATACAGGGCTGCCTTCAGATGTTTTCTAAAGATGTCTATAGATGTCTTCTATAGTTACTTATCTCCTTGGCCTGGGGATCATATAACTCCATACCCTCCACCAACTCTCCAATGAAAATAGGAACATCCTAAGGAAATTTGAATTATGGTGCTGGAGGAGACACTTAAGAGTCCCATGGACTGCAAGAAGATCAAACCTATCCATTCTTAAGGAAATCAGCCCTGAGTGCTCACTGGAAGGACAGATCCTGAAGCTGAGGCTCCAGTACTTTGGCCACCTCATGAGAAGAGAAGACTCCCTAGAAAAGACCCTGATGTTGGGAAAGATGGAGGGCACAAGGAGAAGGGGATGACAGAGGACGAGATGGTTGAACAGTGTTCTCCAAGCTACTAACATGAGTTTGACCAAACTGCGGGAAGCAGTGGAAGACAGGAGTGTGTGGTGTGTTCTGGTCCATGGGGTCACAAAGGGTTGGACACTACGAAACAACAACAACAAAGGAAAAGCAGACATTCTGAAATCAAATAAGAAACCGGGACAGCTTCTGTAAATCCGGGATGGTACCTAGAAAATAGGGACACTTGGAGGGTCTGTCAAGGTTCTCTCCTTGCTCATTTAATCCCCATGACAATCCTGCAAGGCAGGCCAGGCAGACAGGTCAGGCAGAGGCCCCGTGAGCTTCCTCAGTGAGCCAGTGTGGTATAGTGGTTAAGAGCGGTAGTCTTGTAATCTGGGGAACCGGGTTCGCGTCTCCGCTCCTCCACATGCAGCTGCTGGGTGACCTTGGGCCAGTCACACTTCTCTGAAGTCTCTCAGCCCCACTCACCTCACAGAGTGTTTGTTGTGGGGGAGGAAGGGAAAGGAGAATGTTAGCCGCTTTGAGACTCCTTACAGGGAGTGAAAGGTGGGATATCAAATCCAAACGCTTCTTCTTCTTCTTCTTGTCTGTTCCCCTCTTACACTCTGCCCAGTGGTAGAAGTGACCCTGAGGTTTCTCATTCAGGTCCCAGAGATCCCAACAGGAAGAGATCCGTTGTTGTGTAGTGATTAGAGTGCTGAACCAGGGTTCAAATTTCTACTTGACCATGAAGCTCGCTGGGTGACCTTGGGCCAGTCACTGCCTCTCAGCTTCGCCTGCCTCTCAGGGTTGTTGTGGATGCAAGGTGATATATAACTGTAATAAAATAAGGAAATAAAATAATTGTACAATTATAAGAGGTCAGTGTTAATATAAGAGCTAGGGAGAGGCTCTCTTTCTGGTTTAGAGAAGCTGTTTTCCTACATGTATATATATACATATATCGGTATATGTTCCTCTGCTATCTACTTAACCAGATAAAGTTGAATTTCAACATCTCCAGCCTTCTAGGAAGAAAACGAAGCTCTGGTTGGTATAAAATAACAAAACATGTAGTTCAGAGGTGATAAAGGAAGGCGGCCTTTAAGAATATTTTATAACCTCCTCTCATTAAAAAGCAAAATCTTTCAAGGGAGACTCTTTTCTTTTTGCCACATGGAGAGAAAAAAATTCAAGCAAGAAGAGTGTCAGTTCGCCACTACAACCCCCCCTTCCCCTTTTCTGTTTCCTTCAGGCTCAGCTGATCCCTTTGAAGCCAGCAGTGAAAAATTTATGATTCTCTGGTGAAAGGACTTTGGGATCTTAACGGAGCTTCACAATGGAATTATAACCATGTTCCCGATCTGCTATTCATTGTCTCTCAACCTGCCCCTGTGCAAGACACCCTCTTAGATTGGAATGAGCCTCCTTAGCTCAGGGCTGCTGCTTGGCTTTCAAAGTTTATATCTCTTACATGCACAGACACCATGCTCATCCTCTCATGTTTCATAGAGTCAGCACACATTGGGAGATAATTGTAAGAGGCAGATTAGCCCAGCCCCAGCCTCTTAACAGGAACGGGCTCTGCCTACTGTTCCCAGTGCGACCCACCAAAGAACAGAAAATGGAAGTCACGCTCTCTCTGCAGTTGCCAGCAGCCAGAAACCGTAACTCCAAATACTAACTTCCACATTCTGACTTCTGGCAGCAGCTGTTATTATTCTGACCTTTACTGCTAGTCCACTGCAGAGATACATGAGCAAATGCCCTAAGGAAAGACACAGGCAAGATTAAAGCCTAGAAACAACCTTTAACTGAATAAAACTGGATAACCGGTTTAACAACCCTGTATGATTGAATCATAGAATCATAGAGTGGGAAGGGAGCCCGGGGGTCATCTAGCCAAACCCCCTGCAATGCAGGAATATGCAGCTGGTGTTATGAGCACCACACTCTAACCAACTGAGCTTTAAGGTTCGCAAGTAGGGGCTGAGGGCAGCAGCGTCCTCCCCACTTGTGATTCACAGAAATTAGTATTCAGAGGTATAGTCTCTCCAGCAGTGGAGGTAGAACATGGCCGCCATGGCTTTGTCAGCTTCGCCTTTGAGCCGGTGCCAACGACTGGGCTCAACCTCTTCTGCCCCCAACTGGGCTAGGTGAAGCACTTCCAGAGACCTTTCACTGCGGGAGAGCAGGTCTAAGTGCAACGGACCCACAACGTTGAGCTGTGAGCACCAAATTCGGCAGAGTATGAATTACACGAACGAAAGCTCTGAAGCATAATTTCTTTATTCTCTTACAGCTACTGCAAACTAAAAATACAGTGGTACCTCTGGATACGAACGGGATCCATTCCGGAGTCCCGTTCACATCCAGAAGCCAACACAACCTGCGTCTCCGCGTCTGCTTGTGCACGGGTCATGATTTGCTGCTTCCATGCATGCGCGTGGCGTTGTTTTGACCTTCTGCGCATGCACAAGCAGCAAAACCCGGAGCACAACCCAAAAGCACTCAACCTGAAGCAACTTCAACCCACGGTATGACTGTAAACTAAAAACTAAAGGAGGCTTGTGGACTGCATGAGTGTTACAGTTTCCCTATTTTCACTGGAGACATGTTGAAGGGAATGGAGTTATGTGACACATACACACACCCCGCCGAGCCAAGGAGATTCGTGGTTCTTCCGCTCATCGATTAATATCAACAATGACCCCATGAGGTAGGCTAGGCTGAGAGGCAGTGACTGGCCCAAGTACACCCAGTGAGTTTCACTGGGATTCAAACCTTGGTCTCCAAATGTCCTTATTCAGCACTTTAACCACTGCAGCACACGGGCTCAATGTATTAAATGGTTTTAATAAATCTGTGACCTGCCTTCACATTGAGAAAGAGGAGCTGGTAATGAAATGTTTGGCTCTTGCCATTTCCATTCCATTTTGAGACCGTGTAACGTTTCAGCAGAAAACTCAGCAAAGCAATAAACCTTAAGTGGCCTCCCAGGAATGGCAGCCAGAGGACTGAACAGGGGAGGAAGAGGAACTTCATTCCTTCTCTGCTGGACCCACCTGGCGAGCATCACTCATTATCTAAGCAGACGGCTGTTTCCTTCTTGTTGGGACGGAGGGTGGGGAGGGGGAGGGAGGAAGCCACCTGGACGGCCTTACTGAGGAGATGAGGCATGTTTAGAGCAACTGGAACCGATTTGCCAATTGCGCCGAGGAACTCTTCAGATCTGGAACGAACATTTTCAGCAATTGCCTTTCAATTCTGAACTCCCTAACCTGTCATTACAGCCATCAAAGAGCCAAGAGGCCATTATTTGAAAGACCTCCAGAGACAATAGGTTGGATTTGCCCAACATGCTTTGCTCGACAGCTGGGATATTCTTTTAGTCAGGAAATAAGCAATACACAGTTACTGGCTCTGCATGCAGACAGATTGTCAAGGCAGGCTGTGGGAAAGAGCTGCTCAGTGGTAGAGCATCAGCTTGCATGCAGAAGGTCCCAGGTTGAATCCCCAGAATCTCCAGGTAGGTCTGGGAATGTGCCCTATTCTAAAAACCCTGGAGAGCTGCTCCCAGGCAGAGTAGACAGTACTGAGCTAGGTGGACCAGAGGTCTGACTCTGAAGAGTGGAGGCTCATAGCTCAGTGGTAGAGCATATACTTTGCAGGCAGAAGATCCCCAGTTCAGTCCCTGGCATCTCCAGGTAAAGCTGTCAATGTCCCCTATATGGAATCCTGAAGAGCTGCTGCCAGCCAGTGTATGCAATACTGAGCTAGATGAGTCTGACTCGGTACAAGGCAGCTCCCTATGTAAAGCAACACTTCCTAGTGAACTAGTGGAGGCAATGAAACCAGTTTCTTTTTAACACCCTGCCTTTTGTCCTCCTAGCTGTTTGTGTCATAGAATCATAGAACTGTAGAGCTGGAAGGGACCCGAGGGTCATCTAGTCCAACCCCCTGTAATGCAGGAATATGCAGCTGTCCCATATGGGGACTGAACCTGCAACCTTGGCATTATCAGCACCACACTCTTAACCAACTGAGCTAGCTAGGTGTCCCTAGCTGACTGGTTTTTCTCTCTGCTCTGCCTTTATTGTCCATCTCTTATTGGATCACCCTCCAGATTTTGTTTTTCTGCTGGACTCCTACTCCCATCCACCCCTGACCATTGGCCATGCTGGCGAAGGCTGATGGGAACTAGAGTCCATAACATCTGGAGGGGTAATCCTGATATTACAAGAGGTCCGGGACTGAATTTTTGGGCTTTAAACAGGAGCGACATGGATCTGGGCAGAGACTCTAGTGGAGAAGGCGTTTCCATATTTTTCAGCCCATGCAGTTTCTTTCCTAAAGCTGCTCTTTGCCTCACCAGTAGGGGGGGGAGTTAAAAGTGTGTGCCATAGTTGCCCTTCCCGTCCACCCCCAACCCTCAAGCTCAGGCATAGGCAAACTCGGCCCTCCAGGTGTTTTGAGACTACAGTTCCCATCAACCCTGACCACTGGTCCTGTTAGCTAGGGATGATGGGAGTTGTCCCAAAACATCTGGAGGGTTGAGTTTGGCTATGCCTGCTCAAGCTACTCTAACAGTAGCTTGGAGGGATGCAATTTCATTCAAGAAAGTGGTAGAGGTACGGAGGGATGTGGCTCTGTACTGGAACTAGAGATGGGGGAGAAATTCAGTTCGGTTGACGTTTCTTTCTTTCTTATAGAAACATTTATATATCATTATTCATTAAAGGAAAATCAGAGTGGTTTGCAACGATCATACATAAAGCCGCACAGTAAAAACCATATAAAATATTTAAATCACAGATCAAATATTATAGCAGGATATCTTAATTGTCAGCATCAGCTTGGCAGCATAGAAAAAAATTCAAAGGGTGTTTGAAGGTTAGAAGAGAAGGCGCCTGTTGAATCTGTATTGGCAGAGCATTCCACGTGAGTGGGATACAGAATTTGGAAAAAAGCATATGCCGTATTCTTCGCTCTATAAGACACACTGCACAGCGATCCCTCTTGCTGTTCTGGCTTCTGGGGTAGCTGTGAAGCCTGTATTCGCTCCATAAGATGCAAACACATTTCCCCTTACTGTTTGGGGGGGGAGTGAGTCTTATAGAGCAAAAAATACGGTACTTTTTTTAAAAAAAAATTATGTACCGCCCGACACCTGGAGATCTCAGGGCAGTTCACAGAACAAAATCCAAATATAAAACCCCAAAATATATAATCAAAATAAAAGCAACAACCCAATGACACCCCACAAACGTGCATCAAAATGCATATAGTGAAAATGGCATATAGAAATTTCATGTTCTACAGAACATTTTAAGGTGAGCCAACCTATTTTTTAATTTCCCAAAACAATATACAGACAGAAAAGCAGCCGTCCTTCAAAATGTGTGTTTCTCTGAATTTTGCAATGCATTTATTCTCCCAAATGATGTGTACAAAAATGCATGCAAGGGGGTAAGTGTGCATAAAATGCATATGTCACTGAATACAAAATGTTCGATATAAGGGGAAACTGCTTTGCAAAAATGTGTATCTTAGGGGAAATGGCAAAAAAAAATGGAGAAATTTGTACTAAAATGTGGACGAATTTTCATGAGACCTTTAAAACAAAATGTGTAAATGGAGAGAACTAGATTTAAGGTTCCCTGGCTGCAGCATCTGGTATGAAAGCAGAAGGTCCTAGCTTCAGTCCTCAGTCTCTCCCAGTAGGGCTGGGATAGAGCCCTGCCTGAAACCCTGGAGAGGTTTCAGTCAATGTCAGTAATACTGACAGTGCCAGTGCTCTGATTTCCTATACAGTCATACCTCGGGTTGAATACGCTTCAAGTTGAGCGCATTCGAGTTGCGCTCCGTGGCAACCCGGAAGTAACGGAGCATGTTACTTCCGGGTTTCACCACTTGCACATGTGCAGACGTGCCGTCGCTAGTTACGTTTACCTCTAGATGCGAACGGGGCTCCGGAACAGATCCCGTTCGTATCTAGAGGTACCACTGTATTTTGTTTAACAATATTGCTGAATCACATCACCAGGCCTACTTTCTTACCCATGTGGAGAGGGGAGGCCTAGCTTAACCAGAGAAAAATGTCCAATATTTGTTCCCATCTAGAAGAAAATCCTCTCTTATCTGAACCCTAGAATCCAACCCAGTTGGATGTGAATTCCATATCCATGCAACACCACATTCCCACTATTTGAAGGATTGGTCGTGGCAAATAGATATCCTGCAACTACAATGAAATTTCACTTCCTTTCTAATTCACAGCAATTGCCCAGGTTTCCGGCCAGAAGCCACAGAAGCTCTGGAGTTCCTGCTCAAGTTTTCATACCTATGTTTGGCCCAAGAGTCTCCAAAAGCCAGATGTGGTTGAGCTCCCAATACCTAGGAAAGATACCCATGGCCGCCATAGGTCATGGTCACATGGGAAATCTCATCTTCCATGAGAACTAAGAAATTTAAAGGATGAGAAAGGGAGGGGAATTTTTTCAGCCAAATGTGCACTCCTGAGAAAGTCAAGGTGACCCACAAGAAGAGTAAGAAAACGGGGAGTTATAAGTCATGAGAAAGAAGTTCCCAGTGTCTATGCAGCATAGAAAAAGCAGCTGGAACCCAGCTGGAAGGAAGACGACTGGAAATTCCCCTTACACCAACCCTACTTGACCCAGTTAGGGTTTAAGACAATTACACAGTTACTTTATGTTGGAAAGGCCAGTCGAGTGGGAGAGACAAATGAGCTTCTTTCTCACCCGGCTCCATAACTGATTACTCAGAGCCTCGCCTCATCTGTCTTTGCACCATTTTACTCTCATTACAGGCTGGAAATGGGAAGTCATTTTTTACCACCAAGGGTTGACAGTTAGCAAGTTGAAAATGATAGCCCAAGAGTTGGTGTGTTTGGCAGAAGTGGACATTCATTATCTAGTGGGCTGGATAACAGCCTTGCTCATTCGCCATTTATCATTCTGGCATCATCCAAGGCTACCGCAGTCCCAAAGTGATGCCCCTGGACCTCTTTTGGGAGCAGCAGTGGGGCTACTTCATTTCCGTGCTCGATGCAAATAGGTTGCGTTCGCACATACATTAATGACCGTATTTCTGCATTATTAGCATATCACTGTATAGTGAAAGCTATGGTTTTCCCAGTAGTGATGTATGGAAGTGAGAGCTGGACCATAAAGAAGGCTGATCGCTGAAGAATTGATGCTTTTGAATTATGGTGCTGGAGGAGACTCTTGAGAGTCCCATGGACTGCAAGAAGATCAAACCTATCCATTCTTATGGAAATCAGCCCTGAGTGCTCACTGGAAGGACAGATCCTGAAGCTGAGACTCCAATACTTTGGCCACCTCATGAGAAGAGAAGACTCCTGGAAAAGACCCTGATGTTGGGAAAGATGGAGGGCACAAGGAGAAGGGGATGACAGAGGATGAGATGGTTGGATAGTGTTCTCGAAGCTACCAGCATGAGTTTGACCAAACTGCGGGAGGCAGTGGAAGACAGGAGTGCCTGGCGTGCTCTGGTCCATGGGGTCACGAGGAGTCGGACACGACTAAATGACTAAACAACAATATATCACATTTATACATAATACTTTTTCTGAGTTAAAAAGATGGGGTCTGTGAGGGTAGAGGTTTGGAAACCTCTGGTGTAGACAATAAGAAGAGCCTGCTGGATCAGGCCAGTAGCCCATCTAGTCCAGCATCCTGTTATCATAGGGGTTGCCCAGATGCCTGTGCAAAACCCGCAAGCAGGACCAAAACACAAGAGCCCTCTTCCCTCCTGCGGCTTCCTGCAACTGGTATTCTGAGCTAGATGACCAATGGTTTGATTCAATATAAGTCAGATTGTTATGTTCCTATAGGGGATAGAAATGCAAGGAATGGAGAAACATGGTACATGTTGGGAACTGTTAGGAGGATGCAGCTAGTCCCTTTTTTGCACAATGTGTAATCTCTGTCATTCCTTGCCATCTGCCATCCGTTTCCATTTTTCCAGTTTCTTGTTGACCTCGGGTAGCATTTCTCTTAACTGCCCCCATTTTGTTCCTGTCTTAAAGGCATCCGCTACAAGCCTTTACAAGACCTGGCGATGAGAGATCCCACTGCAAGCTGCTGTCGGGTTTCAGTGCAAAAGCACAGAAGCGTTCATTAATATTCCTCTCTCTCTCCGTCTCCCAGCAGAACAAGTGTCATTCAGAGTATTCCTGGGGTGACAACCGCATCGCATGAAGCCGCCTGGGCCTGCTAATTAGTGAAACCAAGAACAGGGGAGGGGCAGAAAAGCCAGGGCATGGATACCATTACAAATCCTGCCCCCTCTCCCCCCGGCTTTGTAAAGGAGAGCCGTCAGGAGTTGTCAGGGCCAAAGATCCAGCCTTCATTCTAACCACATCTCAGTCTCCCACGATCACTGCTTAGAGGTTCCATTCTCATCCCAGCAGTTAACTCAATGCCTCAAAAGTAGTAAGAAATGATAGCATTTATGCCCTGTATTAGAGCATCCTGTTGTCACAGTAGCCATCCAGATGCATGGGAGGAACTCTCAAGCAGAATCTGAGCACAAGAACACTCTTGTGGTTTCCAGCGACTGAGTGGTGCATGCTCTAGTTATCTCCCGCTTGGACTACTGCAATACGCTCTATGTGGGGCTAACTTTGAAGGTGACCCGGAAACTGCAATTAATCCAGAATGCGGCAGCTAGACTGGTGACTGGGAGTGGCCACCGGGACCACATAACACCGGTCCTGAGAGATCTGCATTGGCTCCCAGTACGTTTCCGAGCACAATTCAAAGTGCTGGTGCTGACCTTTAAAGCCCTAAACGGCCTCGGTCCTGTATACCTGAAGGAGCGTCTCCACCCCCATCGTTCAGCCCGGACACTGAGATCCAGCGCCGAGGGCCTTCTGGTGGTCCCCTCATTGCGAGAAGTGAGGCTACAGGGAACCAGACAGAGCACCTTCTCGGCAGTGGCGCCCGCCCTGTGGAACGCCCTCCCATCAGATGTCAAAGAGGTAAACAACTACCTGACATTCAGAAGACATCT